AGCGCCCAACCTCTGAGTCACAACCCCAGTCCTCGAATGCAAATTTGACAAAATTACTTTATGTGCATGTATGAATATACCACAGTGAATTCCACCTTTATGGATATTTATAAAGCACCAATTAAAAATATATAAATGAGGTACAAGGTAGACCAGTAAAGAGAAGGGAAATAGGAAGAGGGAGGAATGGAGGGAAAGGGAGACACTGAGAACGGAAATGGAGTAAATCAAGTTCAAGGCATGTATGATTATGTCAGAACAAACCTAACTATTACAAACAATTACAACGCACCAATAAAACAAACAGAAAACAGCTGAGCTCCAGAACATTCCCAAGGTACAGAGATAAGGGAAAGGGGAGGACAGAGCAAACCAAGTGGAGAGACCCTAAAAATCAACTGAAAAAGCTTTTTGAGAAGAGAGTCCTCAGCCATTGGGGATTACCTACTGTGTGCAGGCGTAGGTGGGCCAACTCCACCCCACAGGAGGTGTTCTTGTATGTTTTTGGAAAGAGAATCCTTAATTGAAGGCTCTCTTGATTGGGGAGAGGAGGCAGCTTGTGATACCACCAGTTATCAGTGAGTCCTGCTTTCCTGCATGTTGAAGTTTGAACATTAGAGAAGCACGCAGAGGCAAGCATATGAGGCAGGTTTATTTGAAAAGGGGTAACATAGACTTCTCCTGCGAGGGAGAAGGGGGCCATAGCTGGTATCATGCTATCCCAAAAGGCAAGATGTTCTGCCCTTTTTATGTGTTCTGGTCTTCCTTTGTTCTCCTGCCTTTCCCCCCTTATCTTTCTCCTTCCTGTGTACATGACTAGGCCCAGGAATGCTCAGTGGTGTGGCCAAAAGGTGGGAAATAGGTGGGCTGAAGGGGGAAGGGCAGGGTGGAGTAGACCGGGACACTGTAACAACCATACAGCTCCCTGTTGGGAGGGGAAATTCCTGGGACTGGTTACCTTGGCAACAGGGTGGTGCAGGGGCAGGTTCTTGATAAGATCCCTCAGGGGACAGTCTCCAACTTCCCAGACTCACTCAAAATTGGCCTCCTTGACCCGACCTGACTCGATTTACCTATCTACACTGACTGCCTGTCTAATTCTGGCTTCACTTGTGGGAAGCGCTGCTGACCCAGCCAGGAAAGGTTCATGGGAAGGGAGGCTCCCTTGGCTGGGCCCTCAGTGTCTCCAAACTCAATCCCCCTTCCTGCTCTGGAATTGCCCTCCCCTCCTCACAGGCCCCTTGGGAAACAGCCCAGCTTGAGAAGTAGAGGAGGAAACCGGAAGGAGATGACTGCCTCTGAGCAAACCAGAGCTAGGGAAAGAACAAAGGATGGGGAGGAAGAAAGAGTGTGAAAGCTGCCTTTAAAAACAGTTGACAATTCATTTAAGTTTAGTAAATTCCGTTTAGTGTGAAGTGCTTTCCTAAGGAAAATCTGTGTAACACACGTATGGCCACAAGGGGTCCCTCTTCCCTGAAATGCACAGGATTGAAGGGAAGGACCAAAACTTGATGACCTGGCTGGAAACCTCTGGCAGGTAACAGCCAGTCCCAAATTTAGCGATCTGAATTTTACCTACACTTTTGCAAAGTCAAAGTGTCCCTTTACTAGTGACTAGCAGTTTAAAAAAACAAGAAACCACAGGGTAATGTGGAGTGAACATGTAGTGGGAGGAGAATGCTTTAAAATCTAGGTGTTTAATGTTTAGTTCCTCTTTGATCAGCACCTTAGTGAGACCCTGTCTTAAGATAAAAAGGGCTGAGGATGTAGCTCAGCAGCAAAGCACGCTGGGGTTCCATCCCCAGTACAAAAAAAAAAAAAAAATTAAATCGTCCCTCTTTGGCAACTATTTTATTAAACATGATGGTCTGAAAAGGAATTTGTTATGAGAATAACAGAGTAATGGCTATTGTTTGCTAGGTATTTTTATTAGGTGCACATTTCTTAGGTATCTAGTGCATCCTAAGACTTTTTTTTTTTTTTTGACACCAGGAATTGAACTTTCTGTTGCTTAACCACTGAGTCACATCCCCAACCCTTTTTAAAAATATATTTTTTAATTGTAGATGGACACAATATCTTTATTTATTTTTATGTGGTGCTTGGGATCCAACCCAGTGCCTACATGTGCAAGGCAGGTGCTCTACCACTGAGTTACAGCCCCAGCCCCCTAGCCCTTTTTGTATTTTATTTAGAGACATGGTCTCACTGAGTTACTTAGTGCCTCGCCTTTGCTGAGGCTGGCTTTGAATTCGCCATCCTCCTGTCTCAGCATCCCGAGCTTCTGGGATTACAGGCGTGTGCCACTGTGCACGGCCCCCTAGCCCTTTTTAGTTTGTATTTTGAGTCAGGGTCTTGCTAAGTTGCTTAGGATCTCGCTAACTCAGGGTCTCACTGAATTACTTAGCACCTCGCCATTGATGAGGCTGGCTTTGAATTTGTGGTCCTCCTGCTTCAGCCTCCAGAGCCGCTGGGATTGTAGGTGTGTGCACCACACCGGGCTATCCTGTCTTTTTATAATGACAACTCATGTGATCTTCACTTAGCCACATAAGATAGATACAATCAACCTTGTTACCAATGATCTTTTGAGGTAGGTGCTTCTACACATGAAGGAATTATGGCTTACAGAAAGTGAGCAATTGTTTCAGCCATACAGCTCAGGAGTATGGATTGGAATATATATCTAACTCCAAAACTACCTACCCTCTGCAGCCTGTAGGAGTCATGAATGTATCGTTTTGCCATTTGTTTTTAACCACAGATGAGGGTCAGATTTATCTAGGGAGCTTTAAAAAGAATACAATTACCCAAGTCCTCTCCTAGGAGCGACTAATTCCTTAGGTCTAGGGTGAACTCTGGAATCTGGTTTGAAGTTCTTCAGGTGATTCTTTTGTGTGCTCCCCCTGGGGAGATCCATCACAGGGGGCTACTGGGCATGAAAAGTGGCTTCGTGTATGTGATGGAACACCTTGCCAGGCGCACATCACCTTACAACAGCATCACAGTGTGTTGTTCCCCTGCACTTAATGACAGGGGGCGTGGAACTTGCAACACATCCTTTCAATTTGACACGCCCATTCATTCATCTTCCCTTGATAGCAGAGCTGAAAAGAAACCTGTGGTTCTCAAACCCTCGAAGAGAAGTGGAGAAAGCAGAGCTACTAGGAGGCAGCATGTGTCCTAGGAGCAGGCTGTCTGTCCACCTGCCCAGGTGACAGTTTTTATCCACTGCCATTTGCTATGAGGGAAGCTGGTGTCTCTACCTGGTGATGAAATGTGAACACCAAAGGGACTTTTTAAGGTCTGCACTGGTACATGGAGGAGCCCAGTCATGAGGGTGGCCCATCAGCTGGGTGGAAAGGAGAGAACATTTCCTACCCATTTCTGAAACAGGACGACTCTGCAGTGACTTTATGTGGCGTGAGTCATCATGGGATTTGGAAATCTGTCAGATATGTTTGAAGTCAGATAATAATTTAATGCTTTCCAGTCCCTTCGCTGTTTTTGGTGATTTCTACCCCCCCCCCCCCGCTCTTATCCTTCCCAGGACGACTGTCCCCTCCCGTTAACCCTGGACTCCAGTGGAGTTCACCACCACTAACCCCAGCCTTAGCTTCTAGACACGGAAATGCATTCGTTCTTTTTTCTGGAGTTTGGTGGGAGCCTGAGAGCTGGGAAGCCACCCAGGCCCTGGGCTCTTGACCCTGCCCCAAGAGCTTTCCGAAGTGTGGCCCCACAGGCTCCGAGGACACTAGAGCAAAAGAGAGCTTGGAAAGGGAAACTTTGTAAAAGTCACCATCCTTTGGTTTCGGAGGGGACTTCGTCCCAACACAAACCCCACCCCAGCGACTGAGCGGAGAGGGGCGGGGCTTCCCGCAGGGCGGGGCTTGCCCTTCTAGCTAGAGACCGCTGGGCTGGGGGTTGCCCCCGGCTCTCCCCGCTCCCGGGCGGCAGGGGGTTGGGTGTGGGCTGCAGCCCTGGACTCAGAGTTGCTGAATCCGCCGTCTGTCACCAGAACCCCACCTCTCCTTCTGAGCTCCTCTTTGCTGTCAAAAGCATAAGTGATCCCGTCCCCGTTCCTTTGGCTTTAGGTCACCGGATTCCTGGATGGGGTTGGCAGTGGCGCTGCAGCCCCAGGTCCTGTTAGGGCAAACGAGTTGGGTGGTGGAGAGGCTGGCGAACCTCTGAGCTCTGGAGAAGTTGAAGTGTCCCAGGGCCCGGCATTGGCAGGTCCTCGTCTCCGCTCCCTGCTGGGACAGGGTGGAGGGAGCTCTTACCCCTGGGGACACAGGACACCAAGGGGCCTGGCTTCTACTCTTAGTTCTCAGCTGCCTTCCTCAGCCCTCCGGCCACCACCTGGGTCTGCAGGCACCAGCTCGGTTTGAAACACCCCTCCCTCCAGCTTAGAAGGAGGCCGGGCTGGCCAGGGGGTTATTTTGGGAGCAGCTTCTGAGATCCAATGGCCTTGTTAGGGCAACACTGACCTTTCTGTCCCGGGGGAGGGCAGGGCTGGAGAAGGGGCGGGGCAGCGCGGCGGGATGATCGCAGCCCGCACACCCACCGGGTGGAGGAGAAGGGGGCCAGCGGCCTCGGCTGGGGCTGCCACCCAGGGGATTGCCCCTCTTTGAATCAGTGGGTCCCCTCTACCCCCACCCCTTTCCCTGTGCTTCTTAAAGGGATCTCACCGTTTTTCCTTGGATTTCATGGAAGCCAGACTTGGGACGTTTTGTGGGGACTTGGAGTCTTTCCTTCCTGTTTCCTCTGCAAGAGGCAGCCTTCCTTCCTGGGGCTGACTGAGGAGGCTCCCAGGCATGGCACTGCCCAGTGTCCCCAGTGCTGACCTGGCTCTTGGGCTCTTTCAGCCTCTGCTGGCGTCTTGCTTCCCCCCTCCTGGGGCATGGTGGTGAGTCTGGGGGCCCAGCCCTGAGGGTGCCTGGAGAGTGTCACCCCCTGCACCCAAGCTGGAGGACGGGGAGGGTGCTGGGGGCGAGGATGAGATGAGCGGGGGCCGCTTCGACTTTGATGATGGCGGGGCGTACTGTGGGGGCTGGGAGGGGGGGAAGGCCCACGGGCACGGACTGTGCACTGGCCCCAAGGGCCAGGGCGAATACTCAGGCTCCTGGAACTTTGGCTTCGAAGTGGCGGGCGTCTACACCTGGCCCAGTGGAAATACCTTCGAGGGATACTGGAGCCAGGGCAAGCGGCATGGGCTGGGCATAGAGACCAAGGGGCGCTGGCTCTACAAGGGTGAGTGGACACATGGCTTCAAGGGGCGCTACGGAACCCGGCAGAGCACCAGCAGCGGTGCCAAGTACGAGGGCACTTGGAACAATGGCCTGCAGGATGGCTACGGCACTGAGACCTATGCAGATGGAGGTGAGCCCACCCTGGGGCCTGCAGAGCTGGGGTTGGGACAGAGGGTAAGGAACACTGGAGGAGGGTGAGAAGGGTGAGGGCAGTTGGCACTGAATCAGGTCGGTAGGATGGGATTTGCTGTGTGGCCTTGGGCAAGCTGCTGTACCTCTCTGAGCATCCATTTCCTTATTAGTAAAGGTGGGGACAATAAAGAATTATTGTGAAGATTGGCAGATACAAGGCCTATCATATAAATATACACTTAACACACAATCACTAAAATGCAAGTACTGCTCTTGGCATGCTAGGTCTATAAGCAATTATGGAATAGACTGTAGCTTAGGTTCTAGCAGAATTGGGGTCTGGTCTCAACTTTGCCATGAAAATTATTTTCAAGTAATAGATTATGAGATGTGTGTCTTTATTCATTCACTCACCCAGCCCCCTGCACATCCACTCAGCCACCCAGCCACCCACCCATCTATCTATCATCCACCCACACACTCACCCATTCTTTCCTTCTTCCTTCCCCTAGTCCTTTTTATTTTGAGACAGGGTCTTGCTAAGTTGCTAAAGGTCTCTCTCAGTTACTGAGGCTGGTTTTAAATGTGCAATCCTCCTGCCTCAGCCTCCATGTGTTTTTTTTTTTTTCATTCAATGCATGTTCCTGGCGTACTTCCTATTTGCCAGGTATTAGTGCAAAGGATTGGATATGAGAACAAGATACAGTATCTGGCTTCAAAAACAATCATACACCAACACCACAGAGAGCTGTGGCAGAACAGAACAGTTAGGTTTGAGGAGGGCAGGGGACACTTTAGAGTATGTGACTCCCTGACTGCAGCGTGATGGGAAAGGAGTGACTGTGGAGTGGCAGTTGGGGACCATCCCAGCGGAGAGAGGAGTTTGTATCAAGGCTCAGGAGCATGAGAGGAATAGTGGGTTCAGAAAATAGAGTCCTCTGTGGCAAAACAGCCCCCAGAAGTGGCAGGGCAGATATCATTACCTCATCTGCTGGATGTGACCTGAAACCTATCACTTATCTGAGCCTCAGTTCCCTCATTCATAACAAGGGGTTCTTTAGAACATCAGTACTGCTAAAACTGTGGTCAGTGGACAGGCAGCATCGGTATCACCTGTCCCCCAGGTGCAGATGCCCGTTCAGGGCTCCTTTCAGATCTTCTGAACCAGAATCTCTGAGCAAGGGTGGAGAAAGCTGGTTTAACAAGCTCACCAGGCAAATTTTAAACACGTTAAGGTTTTTAAAGTATTGCTTTATGGGCGCAAAGGCACCTGCCTATGTCCCAGCTCCTGGAGAGACTGAGGCAGGCAGAGTGCTTGAGTCAAGGAGTTTGAGTCCATTCCTGGCAACATAGTAAGACCACGTCTCAAAAAAAAAAAAGGAAAAGAAAAAGTATTGGTTTAAACCAGGGGCTCACAGACTATAGATCCCATGCCAAGCTGGCCCACTGCCTATTTGGTGTAGCGTGTGGGCTGAGAGCAGTTTTACATATTAGTTATTTGGGGGAAAAAATCAAAGAACAATATTTTGGGAAATATTAAAGTTACATGGAAGTGCTGCTCAGCGTCCTCGGTTTTGCCTATTGTTATGACTTCTAATAGCACAAGTTCCTTGGTGCCTGCTGGTGATGGTCCTTCTGGTCCCGTACCTACGACCTGTGTCCTCTGTGTGGTCTTCCCAGCTGCTGCGCAGCTCAAAACTGCGGCTAATTAGAAAACAATCACATCGGCACAAGAAGGCATTTGCAGGAAATTATATTTGTCACCAGTGCACCCGCTTGATGACAGAAGACAGGAAGTGGGCATTCTGGGAGCGAGGGGGGTGCTGGAGGGGTGGCTGCAAGGCTCAAGCCGAGGCCAGTGGGCACTCTGAGCGCAGCCTAGGCTGAGGGTGGGTTTGTCTGAGCGAGGACCCGTGAGGAACACCCCGGGAACGATTCTGCATGTTAATGGGAGACGACATTGGGGGTCTTTGTGGGTGTGCACATCTGGCAGCTTTAAAACCCTGGCTGGAACTGGACAAGGCTAAGGACAGATTCTGGCTCCACCACTTGCTAGTGGGTGACCTTGAACCATTTGCTGACTCTCTCCAACTAAGGGCAACTCAGCTCACCTGATGTGTCCGCCAGGAGCTGTGCTTGGCTTTGAGGACACAGCAGAAGGCCAGCCTCAGTGTCTCTAGCTGCAAAATGGAGAAAATTCTTGAGCGCTCGCTAGGTGTCTGTCACTTATGCAAAGGTGCATTGTAGGCATGCGCCCAGTGTCCCCTCCCGTCCCTCTTTGCTCTCTCCAAACCAAGGAGAGAGTAAGAGTATGGATCTGGGTGTGAGTCCCAGGGACACGCGTTGCTGGGTCGAGATGAGCGTGAGAAACAATAGGCTGATCATCCAAAATGTTTAAATGGCAGAAAGAAACCCCTCCATTCGTTCCCTTGTGCTCTCTGTGTCGCTGGGCTCTGCTCTGTGCCAGGCTGAGCCCCACAGCAAGTTCTAGGGTCCTCCAGGAGCCCAGTCTAGTGGAGCAGATGGAAAACAACCACCTGTGTGATTTCCAGAAGTTACTAGGGGCACACACACACACACACACAAAATGTAGCAGAGGGAAGAGAGTGAGTGTTTTGGGACAAGGTGGCCTCAGAAGCAGAATGGGGAGGCTAGAGAGGAGGCAGCCTCCATCAGAGGCTACTGCCATGCAAAGGTCACCTGGGGCAAGTCTGGGCATGGCATGTTTGAGGCACAGCAAGAACTCTGGGGTGGTGGGGAAGGAGCCCTGAGCGTGGGGGTCCAGGGAGGAGTGCTAGTTGGCACTGTGGGCGTGGGCCAGCTCTCCCAGGCTTTGCAGACCTGGTATTGTCCCAGGTGTGCCCAGGAGCTCTGGAGGCTGTAACTGGAGACCTGCCACTCTGGTTTGTCAGGGGCCCAGACTTCTCTGGAATGACATGGCTGCACAGGCAGGGTCCCTGGAAACCTCACAGATTCTCTCTCCCAAGCCGCACACGAGGTGTAACTGCCCAAAATTAGACGTGGCCACTGCTTCGGAAAATCTCTTTAATCAACCTGTCATCGGTCCCCTGAGGGTTTGTTAAGGACCTGCCCTCTGCCCTATCCTGGGGAGCGCTGAGGGGAATGTGGACAAATGAGATCCCGTGGTCAGGATCAGTTGGGCGTCGGGCAGCCCGGGGTCATTGGCTGCCTCTGGGTTTCTCCGTCTCTTTCAGCCCTAATTTCCTCAGGCGTAAGGTGGACCTGTCCTAACCGCTCATGAGATTTCTCAAGAGATGAAATGATGGAGAACACTCAGTAAATGCTAGTTATGCTTATTACTACTAGTTGTTCATTTATTCAATTAATATATACTGCATAATTACTAGGAAGCCAGCTCTAGTCTACACTGGGAGGTGTACAAGTGACCTACGTAGACAGGCTCTGCCTTCACCCAGGACCTAATGAGACATGGTGCTGAAGTGCAGTGCTGGGCACGAGATGCAGGGGCAGACAGGGCACTAAGAGTCCCCGAGTGGGGAACTGCCCGACTTAGCCATCCAAGGAGGCTTCCTGGAGTAGGCGGCAAGCCGAGCCCTGAAGTATGTGTGGGAGCAAGTCTGACAACCCCAGGTGGAAGGAGGGGTCCATCAAAGCCAAGAGGCTGCTGCTCAGCCAGGAGATAAAGCCAAATGACCTTATTTATTTATTATTTATTTTTGGTACCAGGTATTGACCAGAGGGACTTCACCACTGAGCCACATTCCAGCCCTTTTTATTTTTATTTTTTAAAATTTTGAGACAGGGTCTCACTAAGTTGCTTAGAGCCTCCCTAAGTTGCTGAGGCTGGCCTCCTGCCTTGGCCTCCCAAGTTGCTGGGATTGCAGGAATGCACCACCGTGCTGAGCTTTGACTGGGCATCTCATCCCCAGCACTGAGAAGGGTTCCCGGCACCCCACCTTCCCTTGCAGTCAGCACTACTACAGGTCAGTGCCTGCTCAAAACCCGGGGAAACAGCAGCTTGCCAGACTGAAGAGGCAGGAGGTGAAATTGATTTAGGGGTCAGGACCTAAGCTTTTCAAAATGAAAGAATAGAATAGAAATTATGAAATTTCTGTATGTCACAGAAAATAAGATAAAGTATTATTTCCTGAAATGTTTGGGGTGTGTGTGTGTGTGTGTGTGTGTGTGTGGTGTAAAATTCAGTTCTTTCTGTAGGTCATGGTCAAAAAGTTTGTCCCAAAGTCTTGATTGGCCTCTATGAAGCCCCTGCCATCCTACCTCTGTGGAGCCTCCCTCTCCTGCAGCCATTGCTTTGGTTGCAGGTTAAGCTCTTCAGCTCTGGCATGGGAAGCCGGAGGTGGGGAAGGAACATGGGCTCCAGCCTCCCAAACCCTGCTGCAGGCCACTTGGCACCCCTCCCCCTCCCATGGCCCTCATTCCTCCCCTGGCCATATAAAGCAAAGCTAAAAATAGCTGCTGACTTAAAGCGGCACACACATACCCCTGCCCTGGAGTCTCGGTGTGCAGTCGCTGCCTGACTGTCCCACCCCCACGGTCACACACTCCAGCCCTGAAGGCTGCTCCGATCCCTGCTTCCCAGTGGTCTTGACCTGGGGCCTCTGCCTTGGCCTCAGGATGTCCAGAGATGTCCCAAAGCTGCAGTCAAGATGTGTTCATATGTGCATCAACTATCTGTGTTATCTGTGTTTTTCTGGGAGATATCTTTGCAGATAGTTGTTGGTTTCTTAAAGTAACCCCATGCTCAGATAAATTCCACAACCACTGCTTAGTCCAATAACCAAAATGTGCTGTGGATGGGGCTGGGGCTGTAGTGGTAAAGTGCTTGCCTTGTATGTGTGAGGCACATAAATATAAATAAAGATACTGTGTGTTTATCTACAACTAAATAAACATTTAAAAAATGTGCTGTGGAAAAACCAAGCCCAAGACTGACTTTTTTAAATAAAGCTAATAATAATAATAATAATAATGATGATGATGATGATGAACTTTTTT